TGTTTCATATTTGTACATCTATTATACATCTATATTATAATACAATGGCGTACCCAGGATCAAAACTAGGGGGGGGGGCAAGAGCGTACTTAAAACAGATACCCCCCAGTCTGGAGGGGGGTCTGGGGGCTTAATGGCTCAGCTTTAAAAAATGGCAATAATGTAACTTAATAGTACTATTATTAAATGCAGACTTTTTATTGTTGGTATTTCTTTTTTACTGGTCAGTAATTCAAGTTCACTTAGGCCTTCGGTTTTCAATGACTTCGTGCTCATGCTTCAATGATGGTCGTGCAAATAGCACCAATACGTGAGCATGAAAAATGTAATTTGTATTATTTGTTTTATTACATATTTTGTACTATATTCCAATCAAATCAAATCCATTTATTTCCATCAACATTCAATACATGTATAGCAACGTCATACAGTTATATTTTAAAATATCATGGATATTGCAGATATGTAGGACTATGTTAATTTAACGTCTCGAGCAAATTAGCATCACGAGCAATGCTCGGTACCCTGGTACTTTCCTATCAAGTAAAAAATAAACTGAATATACATAGCATATTTGTATCCCAACGGTAACTAATCAATGACCATTCAATTAATAAGCTTTACCATTGCCTATGCTAATAGGAGTAAAATAACTTTGGTTTTTGGAAGTCGAGTGTTTATTTTATAGGGGTTTTCTTCTCTTCCTAGCTGGGTATCGGTCCGAAACAGCTTAAAATAGTATGTAATACAGTACCTATTAAAGAATTTTAGTAGTTCTACCAAAACATACTCCCTTAGTAAATGCATCATCCTTATCGAACAGGTGAAACCAATTTTATATTTATTTCTCTCCGGTGCACTGTAGAGGTCGTGCTTTGTTTACAATTTCTTGTTATTTCAGTAATTAAAACAAATAGTTTCATAAAATAAAACTATCTACTGTAATCATAAACGATAACTCGTCCCCTAGTTATATAACAAAACAGTAAAGCACAAATCATTATCTTATTAACCCTAAAACAATAGAAACAAAATTTCGTCGACACTAGCGATTAGTGTCACCGGACATGAACTAGACTCGAAAGACGAGCATCAAAACTAAAAATGGGATGAGAAGTCTACTTCTATGATTGAAATAAGAACAATTTTAATGGCCAAAACTAATTACTAAAAATAAATTTGTTTAAAAGGTAACCATAGAAAATACCTCATACATGATTGCTTTTGATAAGGATTTCTAAAATAAGCGTCGAAAAGTATTGTGCAATGACAACTATATCTGTCCCTTAAATAGTATATTACGTTACTAGCCCGGTAAGTGGTGTTTTACCGCGCGAGTACGTTAAAGCTTACTGGGCGAGTAAAGTAAGAAACTTTACATCATAATACACATAATAATTAGTACATTTTAAACGCATAACACAATTTATATAGGACGAAACATAAATTATAAAAAAATATTTTTATATTACAGAAAATAAAATAGGCCGATGCAGTTAGCTGTTTATTCATCAGCTGACTAGTGCACGATAAAAGTACGTAACGTTACTTTTCCGTGTTTAGGTGCGGTAAAGGGCAACTTTCCAGCCTATCAATACGGACGGAAAGTACCTGTTTCTGTGTCGTATGATTTAAAAATAATTTTTTGGCATGCGTTGAGATTATCTATAGTGTGCTTTACTCATTCTTTTCCATTATTGTGATACAGATTACGTGTAGCCCCTTCTTCCTGGTCTAAGACAAGTTTTATGATGGCTGTTCAAAATTTCGCTGTTGTATTTAGAGCCGAAAGAGGCCCATTTCTGCATTTCAAACGAAAGTTACTTGGCTCGTTCTCTTCCACCTACAGTCCTCACTATGCAGTTACCATACTTAAACTTGAATAATATAAAGTTGATTTGATGAACCACTTACTCTACCTAACTACTTAGGTTATGGACTGTTGGGGTTACTTATCGGTGTAAGTACATCTTTAGGCATCAGAACAAAATTAGCTTAACAAATCACTCCCGAGAAGAGTGAACACAACTCACTATTTATCTTTGCCATAAAGGTCACTCTATTTCTGTTTATCTTTCTCTTTATTAAATTATAATTTATGTAGTTTTTGTAGAACTACATATCTAATCACCATTCCAAAGATTTAAATAAGTAAATATGCCACAACATCTTATCAAAGAATGGTTGTATGTATTGGAGAGGTCTAAGCAATAGAAGTACACGTAAAGAAATGTCTGGAAACATGCGTACGATATCCAAGGTGTTGTACTGAAGTACCTTAATATGAACAGCTACTCATGGTGTACCGATATCCCAGATTATGAACAACAGCCATTGTGGTGTACTAAGGTGCCTGATTATGAACAGCTGCTCATGGTATACCGATGTGCTAGATTATGAACAACAGCCATCGTGGTGTACCGATGTGCCAGATTATGAACAACAGCCATTGTGGTGTACTAAGGTGCCTGATTATGAACAGCTGCCATGGTGTACCGTTGTGCCAGATTATGAACAACAGCCATTGTGGTGTACTAAGGTGCCTGATTATGAACAGCTGCTCATGGTATACCGATGTGCTAGATTATGAACAACAGCCATCGTGATGTACCGATGTGCCAGGTTATGAACAACAGCCATTGTGGTGTACTAAGGTGCCTGATTATGAACAGCTGCTCATGGTATACCATGTACCAAGGTGCCTGATTATGATCAGCTGCAAATGGTATACCAATGTGCCAGATTATGAACAACAGCCATCGTGGTGTACCAAGGTGCCTGATTATGAACAGCTGCCATGGCCATAGAAAACATACTACTATAGGTTATAGTAGTATGTTTTCTGTGGCCATGGTGTACCAAGTACCGATGTGCCAGATTATGAACAACAGCCATCGTGGTGTACTAAGGTGCCTGATTATGAACAGCTGCCATGGTGTACCGATGTGCCAGATTATGAACAACAGCCATTGTGGTGTACTAAGGTGCCTGATTATGAACAGCTGCCATGGTGTACCGATGTGCCAGATTATGAACAACAGCCATCGTGGTGTACTAAGGTGCCTGATTATGAACAGCTGCCATGGTGTACCGATGTGCCAGATTATGAACAACAGCCATCGTGGTGTACTAAGGTGCCTGATTATGAACAACAGCCATTGTGGTGTACCAAGGTGCCTGATTATGAACAGCTGCCATGGTGTACCGATGTGCCAGATTATGAACAACAGCCATCGTGGTGTACTAAGGTGCCTGATTATGAACAGCTGCCATGGTGTACCGATGTGCCAGATTATGAACAACAGCCATCGTGGTGTACTAAGGTGCCTGATTATGAACAGCTGCCATGGTGTACCGATGTGCCAGATTATGAACAACAGCCATTGTGGTGTACCAAGGTGCCTGATTATGAACAGCTGCCATGGTGTACCGATGTGCCAGATTACGAACAACAGCCATTGTGGTGTACTAAGGTGCCTGATTATGAACAACAGCCATTGTGGTGTACCAAGGTGCCTGATTATGAACAGCTGCCATGGTGTACCGATGTGCCAGATTATGAACAACAGCCATCGTGGTGTACTAAGGTGCCTGATTATGAACAGCTGCCATAGTGTACCGATGTGCCAGATTATGAACAACAGCCATCGTGGTGTACTAAGGTGCCTGATTATGAACAGCTGCCATGGTGTACCGCGATGTGCCAGATTATGAACAACAGCCATTGTGGTGTACTAAGGTGCCTGATTATGAACAGCTGCCATGGTGTACCGATGTGCCAGATTATGAACAACAGCCATCGTGGTGTACTAAGGTGCCTGATTATGAACAACAGCCATCGTGGTGTACTAAGGTGCCTGATTATGAACAACAGCCATCGTGGTGTACTAAGGTGCCTGATTATGAACAGCTGCCATGGTGTACCGCGATGTGCCAGATTATGAACAACAGCCATTGTGGTGTACTAAGGTGCCTGATTATGAACAGCTGCCATGGTGTACCGATGTGCCAGATTATGAACAACAGCCATTGTGGTGTACCAAGGTGCCTGATTATGAACAGCTGCCATGGTGTACCGATGTGCCAGATTATGAACAACAGCCATTGTGGTGTACTAAGGTGCCTGATTATGAACAGCTGCCATGGTGTATGGTTGTGCCAGAATACGAGTCAGCGGCTCGTGGTGCATCGAGGTGCCAGAATATGAGTCAGCTCCTATGATTGGAACTCCGTCACATTTCATCTGTACATGTGTCTGTAAATGTAAAATAAAGGTGAGATATCAACTAGTTCAACTACTTACTCAAAACACCTGGAAATATCGTGGATATACTTAAAAGTGTAATTAAAACTATCCTCACTCGTCCACGAGGTCCCGAATTTGAATCCCGCCATATCAAATAACCAATGGATTTTATCCAAGTGATAAGATAATGCCGCAACCCAAAGTCTAACCTGAAGTAATATGAATAATCCGGGCTTGCTCTTAGCGTCCTTGAAAAAAACCCAGATGCTTAGTTATAAACAGCTGATATAATGGCGTACCAAGGTGCCTGATTATGATCAGCAGCCGTGGTGTATACTGTTTTATTAAATACAGGGTGTATACAAAATCTCTGGAAAGATTTGTGTACCTATTTGTTTCTTAGATCAAAATAATTTAAAAACATCGCACGAACATGGGTCTAAACTAAAAATGGATTTCTGTCCATTTGTATGTATTTGGTTTTTAGAAATACTGTAAATGTATTACTAAATTTGAACCCATTAACTGATTGATTTCAAACATAGTACATAAGTAGTTTAAGATCAATCTTTGCACAAAGTAACAGATTTATTAATATTACCAATACAAAATGAATTTGATTTAAAACTTCAATCTGGAAATTCGCTAAGTCTGCAGGCTTGCTTCGACGGGGTTGTTATAATTTCTAACATTTTAATGGAATACCTATATTAGAAAAGGTTTTTTTATTGCAAGGTATTGTGTCAATTTGCAGGTGACGCCCGGGTCATTGGCCGCGCAGTACCTGGCTCCTGGAGATACGATTCTGCAGATAGAGAAGATGGACACGAGGCTGCTGCACATCTCCCAGGTAGAGGCTCTGATAATTCAGCCCGGCAAGTGTCTGGACCTGTTGGTGCTCAAGGGTGACTCTCCAAACACATTCCCGCGTACCCCTACTTCACCCAGTCCTCGCTCTACGTACAACAGCGACTCCTCTCCTGGCCATTACCCCACATACAGCAGCGACTCTGGGTCAGCCAGTGGAGGCTCCACGGGGTGCGGCCGTGATCTGCGAAGGCGCAAGCAGCACTACTGGGAGCGCATTAGCAAAGAGGACAGAGACTTTTCGAAAGAAGGGTTCACTAAGTTGGAAAGTGGAGCCAATAGTCCGTTCAAACATAGGCCAGTGTTTGGTAACTGGAGAAGATGCCTGTCCGAAGAAAAGACCTGCCCTAAGTATGAAGACATCTCCTTATCGTACGATTTGGACTCCAGTTCCTACTCAAATAGAATACAAAGTGTTTGGAGCCCCAACCCCGATCGGTCGAGAACGCCGACTTCCGATTTCTGGCCGAGAGACGAAAAACTGAACTTAACTAACGATCGACAAGGAGATATCACGTTTTGGGAATACGATTCTTCAAAAACGCAAATCAGTGAGCCAAAGTCAAGCTTTAACAGAAGTTACAGGAGGCATCACTCTGATTTCAGTCACGGATACTCATCACTTTCCTCGGAATATGCAGCGACTCCGAAATCGGAATTTGACTCAGGTAGAGAATCGCCACTCGATTCTCATCATTTTTTCATGAAGAAACCATCGGACTTTTGGGGAGACCATTATAGAGACGAGCAGAACCGAATCCGACTTAGAGGTGTAACCTCTCCCACAAGTAGTATGGACAGTGTTTGGAAAAACTCCAATGTTGTGTCAAAAACCGAATTCAAAAAGAGTACTTCTGTGAAACAGACATCGTACTCGAGCAAAGAAGGTGCAAAGTCTTTTGAAACGGTTGAACACGTCAACAAAACTAAAGAAACGGAGAAGTCTTCAAAGATTGTGGAAGGTGGAAAAGAAGAAGTGATTGAGAAAACGAAGAAGAACAAAGAGTACATTTTAGCTAACAAAGACGATGTCAACGGCCAACCAATAGAGACGAAGAAGGTGATAAACGATTTCAAAAGTATCGAGAAAGTAATGGACGGTGAAAATGAGTTTTGTAATAAAATCAAAGAGCATAATGAAGAAGTTGTGAACTCGAACACTCCAGTCAACTTCTACGATAACGTTCAGCAGCACGTGGATGCTATTAGCCCCATAGTACAGGCAGCAGAGTGGTGTGATCATAAAACCAAAAGTCACAAGCAGGTGAGCCAAGTGAAAAGCGACGATACCCTCAACATCCCTGATGATAACGTAGACTGCTCGCCGTTCCAGGCAAATGATCAGAGCCAGATGCGATGGACGAGTTCTACTCCTTTATCTGATGGCCATTTTGACGAAGGCTTCATATACGAACAAGAGGAGCCTTTAATGGAAAGTTACTTCGAGGTAGACATTCGTTCACCCATCGAGATGGAGGTGGTCTTTCCTTCAGGAGTGGAGGAAATAAGGTAAGATATAAACAGTATTGCTATATATTGAATTTGTATTGACCGCTGGCATATAGAGTATATTCAGTACTAGGCTATTGGGTATATTTTATGCCCACACGAAAATCTGTAACCACTGCGATGTCAAATTGACGGGTTGGTATTTGGCTGACATTAGCAATTAACAATTAGCATTAAAGGATGCCTTCAGATGTGCAATTTCGTTGCGAACGTTACACTGTGCACAAAGCTAATACTGTACACTTTTTAATCTGTTATTTTACATTCGGATGAAATTAATTTCCGTGATTCCCTATTAATCTCGTTGTTGTAAGGTGACTAATCTTTTATAAATATTTAGAATTAAAACAGATTTTACAAATAAGATGCATTTTTGGCCCATATCGCGTTGCAATGAGGAAGGGCCCTTGCATTTTGGCGAACTAAGACAACGGGACCTCGCTAATTGAAACCGTAGCGATCGTTCAGTTTATGGGTGCGGACGCTTGAAATAACCAGCAACTTTAAAGGCGTGACAACCGTTGACAGATAATAGAGTCGTGTCGTAGATAGTTAAGGTTGAAAACAAGTTGGAATTAGCCCAAAACTAGGAAGCGAGCAGCGAGCGCCCACACAGTGCCCACGAGGGGCTATTTCCGCGCTGGGCGAGTCGGAGTGCATCGCGGTGGTATCGACGAGAACGACAATCAGCCAAACAGGCCTAGTAATTGGCTGCCATTGTCCCGCGGTTTAAGTTATTAATCCCGTTGAACCCGACCTTGCTGTGGACGGACGATCCCAGAAATAGATCTGAACCTTGGCCAAAGTGAAACGCGAGAATGATGTTAGGATTTGAGACATATAGTGGAAACTGCCGGGGTTCTGGAGCAGGAAGTCGACTGTGAAACGAGGTTTAGAACGGTCATTGGAGAGAACCCACGAGCTGCTTATTTGTGCGAAGGTTTCTTCCTTCGATTGGTTTTAGAGTATATCGTGATATATAAAGCAAGTTCCAACTACTAGTCAATTATTTACTCGTATAGTCTACCAACTATTATATTCATAGCTGAAATAGTTACAACAGTTAACTCTAGTACTATGAGATGAGATTGACTTACTGTTATTACTAAAACAAATATCCCTCCAGTAAAAAAAATAAAATAAAAGAAAATTTTGCACAATATTTCTGTACAAGAATAGAGTTTTATTAGAGCTTTATGTCCCATAGTATGCATTCACATTTTCCGCATTACATAAATCCGCACATTTGTACCAAACTATCCAGTGTAAGTAAAAACACTATGCAACAAACAATGACAATACTAAATAATATCGTTGTTTGAAACGTCCGTCATCCTCTCGCGACATAAAATTCTACGTAGATTTATTTCTTCGGGTAACTTCGGGTTGTGTACTTATAACAATTTCGTACAAATTAAGTTTTATTTCTTCGTAAATCAATAAAAGTTAAGTTAAAGCAACTTATAATCAATTGGGATAATATGTCTTCTAGCCACAATTTTTATTTTAGCAATCAATATGTTTGTTGTAAAATAATCGCACAGATTTACTGGTATACATATCCGAGTGTTTCCATGATTGTGAGATTAATAGCAACAGCCTATCACAATTAATATTGTAGAATGTAGAGTAGTTGTTTGTTTTACCATTGACTACACCTTTACACATTGGTTGTGATGCAAACAAAACAAAATTAAAATTGCATTCAATTAATACAAAATTGTAGGAAACATCGCCCAGTTCATAACAATCGTCAGAGTATTTTGTTATAAACTACATCGTGTCACAAAAAAAAAAAAAAACTGAACAATTTTATTTAATTATAAAAAGTTTATTAACAATCACACGATAAACTAATTACATTTTAACTGACACAAATATTCATGTTTGACATCATATGTGTTAATGGTTTTCAACATGGTTGCCATTGTTGGCAAAAATATAGTCAATACGGCTGTCCAATTCACCGCACACTCTATGTAGTCCAGGCAACGAAAGGATATAGAGGGAAATTTTTGGAACACAATTTCTGACTTCGTAACTTTGTTTAGTATAGTTAGGAGGTTAACATACCAAAAGTCCCCGCCTCTAGCCCTTGTGCTGTGGGGGAGGGGGGGGCTTGAAGGTACCATTTTTCGGTTTTTTGCTGATATCTCGGAAACCATGCGTCCAAGCGAAATTATGCTAATATACAAAATGAAAGCTTATTAAATTTCCAGCAAGTTTGTAATTTACCAATTTTTGGTATCTTGTATAGTTTTCGTGTTATTTGCTATCAAAAGTTAGTAAATTTGGAAAAATACATTTTTTTCTCATGTTTTTTGTTCTTTTTGACAAGTTGCCTCTCAAACTATGCACCCAAAAAATAAATGCTGGGCATAGGGTTGTAGAGAATTAAATTCCCTTCAATAATATATATGACTTTACTAGTTTACCTTCTTCCGTTCAGTTTTAAAGCAAATTAACTGTCAGTATAAAAAAATTAAATTTAATTAAAATTTAAGAAAATTAAAAACTAGTGTTGAGCAAGGAATTTAAGTCTTGCAACAGCTGTTGACTACTTAATATATTTTAATTTATCACCTTACATTACTAATTGGTTGGAACATTCACTATCAAGTAGATAAGGTGAGTGATGGGCGTCTAAAAATGGCACCGATACCCTATAGAAAATATATACTTGTGGGCTGCCTAACCAGCTTCCTCACACTTGATGATCTAGCTAGACTATTGTAATGGGAAAATATGGTGTTATAACCATGGTAATGCATATAAAAGTGTATATATGACACTGGAAACCAATCACAACCATTAAATTTAAACAAAGATAAATTACATATTTGAATGAATTAATATAAAAAATTACATCAGTAAGTAGCCTACTATTCTATCCCTTGCTATCTTAGTTTAATAAGGACTACCATCCTCATCATTTTTATACTTTTTTTCATAGGTATACTGTTTTTCTTCATATTCTTAGTCATCTTTCACAGGGACAACATTTTGACATTTTTGGCATACTTATTTTAGGCTTGCTTTTTTGCTACCTGATTTTGCACGAGTACAGTTTTATGTGCATAGGCAGAAAACAGTTTTGAGGATATCCTTCAGTGTAGTTTCATGCTGAGTGTACTCTGTTACTACAGAGTTTTTATTATTCTTTTCCACTCTTACATAAGAGAAGGCAGGTTATTTCCCAGCCACAGCTGAACCTTTTGGAATGTACATGATAGGAAACGATGTTTGAAAGCACCATCAGTCGGAGGAAGACAAGAGATATTAGGCTTGATGGAGACTATCGATTTAAAAATTGACTTTTACCTGTATAGATTGAAGTTGAAGTGCACGATACCTCTCTCGCTGAAGCCCATATCAAATCAAGATGTACATTTTCCCTACCTTTTGTATTTGGGTGGTGTTGGAGAGGGGGCGTGAAAGACAGATGATGCATTTTGGGCCACTGGGGAATTCAGATACAACTTCGCATAAGCAACCTTGCTTTTTTCAAATGCTGAAGATTTTTGGTCACATCCAGTAGAATCGCGTTCAAAATATCATCTAATCCTTGTTTAGATAGTTTATGGTGCCAGAAAAAGAGGTCCCTTACATTCTTTCCTAGAGAATAAGAGGATAAAAACGATTATGAGGATTGTAGTCCTTTCCAAACTAAGATAGCAAGGCTGAATTGATTCAATAGTAGGCTAAGGCTACTCACTAATGTAATGTTTTATGTTAATTCCTACTTAAACATGTCAATTGTCTTGGTTTCAATTTTATGGTTGTGATTGGTTTCCAGTGTCATATAGACACTCTTATATGCATTAACATGGTTATAACACCATATTTTCCCATTACAATAGTCTAGCTAGATCATCAAGTGTGAGGAAGCTGGTTAGGCAGCCCATAAGTATATATTTTCTATAGGGTATCTGTGCTATTTTTAGACGCCCTCACTTACCTTAGCTACATGATAGTGAATATACCAACCAATTAGTTGACTTTGTAAGGTGATAAACTGAAATATTAAGTAGTCAACAGCTGTTGCAAGACTTCAAATTCCTTGCTCAACACTAGATTTTAATTTTCTTAAATTTTAATTAAATTTAATTTTTTTATACTGACGGTTAATTTGCTTTAAAATCTGAACGGAAGGAGGTAAACTAGTAAAGTCATATATATTATTGAAGGGAATTTAATTCTGTACAACCCTATGCCCAGCATTTATTTTTTGGGTGCATAGTTTGAGAGGCAACTTGTCAAAAAGAACAAAAAACATGAGAAAAAAATGTATTTTTCCAAATTTACTAACTTTTGATAGCAAATAACACGAAAACTATACAAGATATCAAAAATTGGTAAATTACAAACTTGCTGGAAATTTAATAAGCTTTCATTTTGTATATTAGCATAATTTCGCTTGGACGCATGGTTTCCGAGATATCAGCAAAAAACCGAAAAATGGTACCTTCAAGCCCCCCCCCTCCCCCACAGCACAAGGGCTAGAGGCGGGGACTTTTGGTATGTTAACCTCCTAACTATACTAAACAAAGTTACGAAGTCAGAAATTGTGTTCCAAACATTTCCCTCTATACCCTTTTTTTTAGCATTCGTTGCCTGGACTAATGGCGCATTTCGTCAGTAAAGGCTGCATTTATTCTTTGCCTCAATTCTCGGACATCGGAGACTTATGTCAGTCTGTCACAGACAACAGAAACCATGAAAACATTAAAGTATTATATTGTCTGTGCTTCTGTCTTATAAACTTGGTCCTTGATGAAACCCCAGACGAAAAAATCACAGGGTGTTAGGTCTAGGGACCGTGGGTTAATTGTTGTACGTTTTCCATCAATTCATTTTGGATTTTAGGCCTACCATTACCTTATAAATGTTGTAAGCTTCCAGTTAACATAAATTTGTCATACCATGCTCGAATGCTGTTCCGTGATGCGTCTTTTAAATGTTCTTTGCACTGCAATATCTGACTTACTTTGAATGTACCA